TTTTTTTTGAAAGTGGTTTTCTTCGTCCTTTTGGTTTAAAAAGTTTCACGTCTTGGTGCCTTTTGTGTGATGCGCCTTGCTGACAGCTTGACATGTGCCAGTTTAAGGGACGTGCTCACCTCTAGCCTTAAGGGGGGCAGGGAGTGATGATTCGGGGGAAGCTTTGGAAGCAAAATAAGGAAGAGGGCTGAGCTGAGCTTCGGTTCTCCAGAATGTAAGGGGAAAAAATCTAAAAATCTGAACTCTCAAAAGTCTATTTTTTTAACTGAAAATGTAAATTTATAAATATATTCAGGAGTTGGAATGTTGTAGTTACCTACTGAGTAGGCGGCGATTTTTGTATGTTATGAACATGCAGTTCATTATTTTGTGGTTTTATTTTACTATGTACTTGTGTTTGCTTAAACAAAGTGACTGTTTGGCTTATAAACACATTGAATGCGCTTTATTGCTCATGGGATATGTGGTGTATATCCTTCAGAAAAATTAAAAGGAAAATAAAATAGCTACGGTTGCACGTATCTTTCCTGGGCTGGGGGTGGGCTCTGCAGTCATCCTCCCTGTTGACGGTTTTGAGGATATTCCCACCAGAGTTATGGTGCCCACTGTGTGTCACTGGAGTGAATTCTTTTTTTTAAAGTTGATTTTAGAAAGAGAAGGAGAGAGAGAGAGACGTCAATATGAGAGAGATACAGCGATTGGTTGCCTCCCGTATGTGCCCTGACAGGACCAAACCCACAACCTAGGTATGTGCCTTGACCAGGAATCGACCTCGTGACCTAGGGCACAGGACAATACTCCAACAAATTGAGCCACATCGGCCAGGGCTGGAATGAATTCCTTATGAGGACTAGGTGTGGGTCTTCTCTTTGTTTTTTCTCTTAAGTACATATTTTTAAATTTATTTTTTAATTGTTTTCAGAGGAAGGCAGAGGGAGAGAGAGAGAAACATCAATGATGAGAGAGAATCATTGATCGGTTGCCTCCTATACACCCCCCTACTGGGGATAAGCCAGCAACTAGGGCATGTGCCCTAACTAGGAATCAAACTGGTTCATAGATCAATACTCAACCACTGAACCACACGGCAGGGCAGGGTCTTGTCTTGTTGATTCTGGGCCTGTTCCTTCTCAATCTGGTGGGCTTCAGCTTTATCTTGGTTAGTTAAAGCTAAAGAAGGCCGGAGGTAGGGTGGAACACATGTGGTCAGAGGCAGAATTATTCTCCTGGCTCCAAATGTTCAGCCAGCCCTGCCCCCCATCTCTCCCAAGGGTTGGGAAAATCTATGTCCTTGGGAATTCTTGCCCATATGCACTTGGCAGGAGTTAAGGGGTGGTCACAGGGCTCTGGGAAATAGTAAACGCTGGAGCTGACTCAGGCTCTCCCTCCCATCCCCCATGTCCCCAGGAACCTGAGGGTGTTGAGGAAACTTAGAAGAGGCGAGGGCCAGTTCTCAAGCCAAGAATCCTTCCAGGAAGAAATTTCATTACTTGCCAGCTGGAGCTGCCATCCTTGGCAGCTTCCGGGGGCATGAGACAGAGTGGGCAGGAGGCTGGCCTGGTGTTGAAGGTTCCCATCCAGACCAAGTCTGTACTGTTTTGTAGGAGGCCTGAGATGCTAGGTTCCTCTGGTCCCAGCCCATGAGGTTCCACATTTGTGACTATAGCAATCCTTGTGGGCTCGTGAGCATCTTATATTCTGAGAGGCCTTGAGCTGGCCCCAACAACCATGCAGATTGTCAGTTGGGGAAACAGAAAGGTTAGCCAAATATTACAACATGGTGTTTTGTTATATAATATGGGCAATCATGGGCCTCTATGGGAGCACAGAGAAGGACACCCAACCCACCCCGGGGCTTAGGAAAGGTGGAAAAATTGAGTTGGGAAGGATAAATAGGAGTTAACCCGAATGACTTGCTTTGCGTGTGAGGTAGGAAGGGTGTTGGTTGAGTTTTTGGCGGGGAAAGTGATGGATGGATCACTGAATGGAAGTATTACCTCCAATCCTAAATCTTCTGTGAATTGATCAGACACCACCATCTATTGGTCAGATGGGTGCAATAGATTTGGTGTCCTTGAATTCCCAAGCCTTGGGTCCCCCCTCCCAATTTCTGACCCCCCCCAAATTAAGGATAATGAATAATTTCCCTCCCTACCTGGTATTGTTCTCAGTCCTTGAATGAAGTCAAAGTCTCACCTGCCTCCACTCTTCTTCTCTCTGAGGGTCTCTCCCAGGTTACCCATGGACACCTTCTCCTGGGCCCAGGGGAATTCCAGCAATCCCCTGGAATTGGCCCAATTCTTTTTCTTTCATTCCAGCCTTCCTGAACAACACCGTTGATCTCTGCCTTTTCCCATGATACCAGACTCCTCAGCCTGGAGCAGGGGAACCAAGCCATATTCTCTAGCAAAGGGCATATCCTTGTGTGCCTCCAGGCAAAATTGCCAGGTAGTGATGGGACAATATTTGCATTGGCGCACCTCTTCCCAGCCCCACCCACCTCTCCCCATCTCACTCTAAGCCCAGGAACACAAGTCTATGCCTGTTACAGATTCTTAAGAATTTCTCCCACATACTCCCAAGAAACAAAACACGGCAAGAATAAAGTATGAGAGAAAGAGCAAAGAGAATCTGTCCCTTTAAAGCAGAGGGTCTCCTGTGCTATTACAGTGCATCAGAACCAGATTCCTAGATTATCTGATTCTTGAGGTCTGGGATGGGGTCCTGGAACTAGCCTCTGTAGCAAGCACCCCAGGCGATTCTGATGCAGATGGCGTGGTGAGCAATTCTGCCAAGGCTGCTAGCTACTTTTTGTAAGTCCTGTCAGCAGGGTATCTTTGGGTTCTGACAGTCCAAACTCAAATTCCTTGGCATGGTTAAAATAGGCCAAGACTCCAAAATTGCCCCATTTTATAGTCCTATAGTATAAAATAAAAGGAAAGTGTCCATTTTAACTCCTGCTCCTGTGAGGGAAATCTGAAACCAAGGGCATAGGACAGTGCTGATAGAAGCTATCATCATAAAGGCTAACGTTAGGGGAGGGACCCAGATAATGTTGAGCAACTGATAGATACCTGGGGACATTGTCTAGGGCTTCAGGAATGTGGAGAAGGATAGAGAGGAGAAAGGTGATAGAGGCGAGAGGGTGGGGTACTCCTCCAGCAAAGGACGGGTTTAGATTCTGAAGAAAAAGAAAGAACCAGGTCCTAAGGACTCTTCACCCTTCCTCCCAGGACCTGAGAGAGACTCTTTTCTCTTGAATTTCCGGAATGTTCAGCCTCATTCATTTTCAAAGATTCTAAGCACTCAGGACAGTGAGCTTAGCCTGGTTGTCAGGCAGGGTTGTCTATCTCCCCTCACTCTGAGCTCCCCGACCCCCAGTCAGAAATGGAGTCAGGAATGGGTACCATAGGCTCAGAGGTATCCCTGCAGCATCACCCTCTCTCCCCATCCCTGCTGTTTTTCCTGGTTCAGCCAGACATAGGACCATCTGAGAGGGAAAGATTGGGCAGAGTGAGATCCCAGTATCCTAGAGAAAATGAGGCCAAGTCTAAAAGAATCAGGTGTTGAACAAATAAAATTACAACATTTTACCCATAAACCTTTTGGTGCTAATAAGACTTTTGCACTCAAATAGCAAATCTAGCCCTCCACTTCTGTGATTTTTCTTCCCATCTCCCTTTTCCTATTGCTAGAATCTAGGAGAGCCTTTTTTGAGGCAAAGCTGACTTGAGAAGTTTTCTTAGGTCAAGTTGGTGCAGCTCCTCAGATCCAGGTGAAAACTATCTCGTCTCCCCTTTCAGAGAGCTCTCTCCAACAAGCCCATTCTCCTCGGTGCTTAGGTTGTTTTATTATTATTACTTTAAAAACTTTGTTGGAGTACAATTGACATACAGTAAACTGTACATATAAACTGTCCAATTTAGGAGTCTTGATGTATCGGTGCACAGGGGAAACCATCACCACAATTAAGATAATGAACCTATCCACCACCTCAAACACTTTCCTCCTGTCACTTGGTAATCTCCCCTTCTTCCACCCCTGTCCCCAGGCAACCACTTACCTGCTTCCTGTTGCTGTATAGATTAGTTTGCCTTTTGGGCAGTTTCATATAAATGGAGTAATTCAGTATACATTCATTTCGGTCTGGGTTCTTTCACTTAGCATCATTTTGATTCATCCATGTTGTGTGAATAAATAGTTCACTCCTTTTTATTGCTGAGTAGTATTCCCCTGGATGGCTATCGTACAGTTTGCTAATTCTTTCACCTGTGGATGCATATTGGGTGGGTTCCCTTTGGAGCTGCTGTGCACACTTGAGTACAAGTCTTTGTGTGATGTGTCCCCATTTACTCCAGAGCCTCCCATTCCGGCTCTTTCATCCCAGCACATCTCCATTTCCTCGCCTTGCTCTTACTCAAAGCAATAATCACCCATCTCCACGCCCCCCCCCCCGCCCCGACACACACACACTCAGTCAGGGCCCAGCCTCCTAAGGGTTTGCTTCATTTAATCTTTCCTCCTATAAACAGAACCAGCCCCTTCATCATTTTTATTGCTCTACTTCAAACTCCTTCCCGTTTGTTTATTCCTTCCCTGTAATGAGATGTCTGGGACTAAGTAAGATATGCTGTCATTATTTATTCAGCTTGGCAAAGGTATGTAAGTCCTTGGTGATACTTTTCTAAAGAGAAAGGCACCTGAGAGAGGGTAGCTACATATTGATGAGGCACTCCTACCTCAAAAGGAGGAAGGGGCGAAGATCAGATGACGAGGGAAGTTACCCTGGGGAGACCAGTCCTAAGAAGTTATCTGTACACTTTGCCTTCTATGACTATCTTCTGAGGGTGGTGTTTCTGGAACACAGGCCCTACTCACCTGACAGTTGTCACAAACCCTATATCCTACCCACCTCCGGGTTCTGAAATAGTGTTGTAATCACAACTTCTCTTTCTTCTCTTTGGGCCCCAGGAGCCCGGGACTGTGGAGCAGCGAGCAGCCTGAGTCAGAGGACTGGTCTTGGTCTGTGTTCCCAACTCCGATGAACTGGCCCTTGCTGCCTGCCCAGGTATGTGTTAAGGCTGGGACAGAGGGAGGGTGGCTTCACTTATTTTAGGAAATGATCCTTAATAATTAGCTTTTCCCGACAGATAATAACAAGCGTTGGTGAGGATGTGGAAAAATTGGAACTCTCATATGTTGCTGGTGGGCATGTAAAAAGGAGCAACCACTTTGGAAAATGGTTTAGCTATTTTTTATAAAATGAAACATACACTGATCATGTGACCAAGCAATTCACACTCCTGGGTATCCACCCAAGAGAAATGAAAATGCATTCATATAAGTATATGATGCGAATGTTCATAGCAGCAGCATTCACAATAGTAAAAAAGTGAAAACAATGCAATGTCTATTTTACTGGTGAACGGATAAACAAGAGGTGGTACACCCAAACAAATACCATTTAGGAATAAAAAGGAACAAAATGCAGGTGTGCGCTACAACATGGGTAAACCTCAAAAATGTTATGATAAAGACGTTAGGTGCATATTGTATGATTGCATTTCTATGAAATGTCCAGAAAAGGCGAATCCATGGAGACAGAGAGTAGATTAGTAGTTGCCAGGGGCTTGGGGTGAGAGTAGGTTTTGACTGAGAATGAGCTTGTTACTTGGGGGAAGATGCAAATGTTCTAGAAAAGGATTGTGATGCTTGAACAGCGTTGTAAATTTACTAAAAGTCATTGAATAGTACACTTAAAATGGATGCATTTTGCTGTGTGGATCTGCTTGGAGGACACAGCCCTCTAAAATTAGGGTGCTGATTTGCAAACTGGAGGCCAAAGAGCAGGCCCTGGGGTAGTGGGGAGAAGGCCTTCCTAATATTCTCATCGGGACTCATTTTGAGGAAGGGGATTTAAGAAATCGGGGGAGAGCCCTAGCTGGTTTGGCTCAGTGGATAGAGTGTTGGGTTTGATTCCAGTCAAGGTCACATGCCCGGGTTGCGGGCTCGATCCCCAGTAGGGGGCGTGCAGGAAGCAGCTGATCAATAATTCTCATCATTGATATTTCTATCTCTCCCTTTCCCTTTCTCTCTGAAATCAATAAGAATATATTTTTTTTAAAAAAAAGAAAGAAATCTGAGGAGAACCCTGGCTGGATTTCTCAGTGGTTAGAGCGTCAGCCCGAGGTCTGAATGGTTGTGGGTTTGACTCCAGGCAAGGGTTGCAGGTTCGATCCCCAGCTCTGGTTGGTTAGGGTACATGCAGGAGGCAACCAATTGATGTGTTTCTCTCTTTCTCCCTCTCCCCTCCTTCCTCTCTTCCATTTCATCTGAAAATCAATGGAAAAAATATCCTCAGGCGAGAATTAAAAAAGGAAAACAAATCCGGGGAGGTAAATGGGTAGAAATGAATTTATTCTGAAGTGTCTTCTCCCATCCCCATCGCCCAGGTACATCAGGCTGCCCACGAGGCCAGAGTGCATCCTCAGCTCCCAGACAAACACAGAAGTGGCTTTTCCACAAAACCAGCCATGGGTGCCCTCCTCAGAGACAACTTCAGCCTCTGTGGAAGCTAATTCCTCCTCAGAACCAACTTCTCATCCCAGAACCTTTCCAAATCCAGTGACCAGACTCCTGAGAACCAAATTGCACCTCATTTATTGAACAAATTAACAGAGCACCTACTGTGGGCAAGTTGGTCCAGAGGCTTTAGAAGGGTTCTGGGAGAAAGAAAAGAAAAACCACCATAGCTTGCCAACCATCCTTGAATCTCTCTAGAACCAACTTTGAATTTCCTCAAACTGGCTTCTCAGAGACAGTGACTCTCCTCCTGCCACCCAATCAGAACTAGTTTTCAGTCACCTCAACACCAAAGGTCCACTCCAACTGTCCTCTCAGAACCACCCATTTAAATTCTCAGGTCCGCCCTGGCCAGGTAGCTCAGCTGGTTAGAGTGTTGTCCCAATACACCAAGGTTGTGGATTTGATTCCTGGTCAGGGCACATACAAGAACCAACCTGCCCTAGCCGGTTTGGCTCAGTGGATAGAGTGTTGGCCTGCAGACTGAAGGGTCCCAGGTTCGATTCTTGTCAAGTCACATGCCCGGGTTTCGGGCTCTATCCTTAGTAGGGGGTGTATAGGAGGCAGCTGATCAATGATTCTCTCTCATCATTGATGTTTCTATCTCGCTCTCCCTTTCCCTTTCTGAAATAAATAAATATATATTTCAAAAAAAAAAAAAGAATTACCAATGAGCCCTGGCCGGTTTGACTCAGTGATTAGAGCATTGGCCCATGGTCCAAAGGGTCACAAATTAGATTCCCAGTCAAGGGCAAGTACCTCGGTTGCAGGTTCAATCCCCAGCCCCGGTCAGGGTACATGTGGGAGGCAAGGAGGCAACCAATCAATGTCTCTCACATGGATGTTTCTCTCTCTCTCTCTCTCTCTCTCAGTCACTGCTTCTGATCCCATTACAGCAGCCTCAGAACCAATTTTGCCCCCTCAGATTTGTGTTAACTCCCCCAAATCATCTTCTCAGAATCATCTTTCATTCTCTTCAGAGCCAGATTTCATTTTGGACTAATGAAACTACCAAGGTCCTTAGAATTTTCTTCTCAGACCATCTTGGCTCTATCCAGAAAGATTTTTTTCAGTCTCCTCAGGCCCAACTGTCAGGCTTCATTCATAAAGCAAATCTTTGAGTTATTAATCCATGGCCTTCAGGTTCCCCATCAGTTTAATGGGGAAAATAATGCTTATTCTTTTCAAGAAAAAGAAGAACATTACTTTTTTCTGAACATAGAAACACCTCACCATTTTTACAGCTTACCTTTGACACACAAAACTCATACACTGATGGAGGGAGAATAACCCATCACATGCTTTCCTGTGGGCCATTCAAGAGCATGCACCCAAAGCCTTATTAGAGTTCATGCCCTCAGACCTAGCAATTCTTCCAAGACTGCTGTTAATTAGAGTATTATTTGTAATGGAGAAAAGTTGGCAACAACATGCATGTCCCATGGCTGATATCAATTGTTATATGATGGACTACTATGCAGCCATTACTATAAATCATGTTTTGAAATAATTATTGACCTGAAAAAATGCCCACAATATAACACTAAGTGATAAAGTAATATATAAAACCTTCTATATGGCATGACTCCAATTTTATAAAATACATACTAAGGTGCTTACATATACATCAAATGTTAATAGTTGTTACTTCTGGTGGGATTATGGGAAATTTTTATTTCCTATTTTATACTTTACTGTATTTTCAAATAAGCAGGTATCTTTTATTATCAGAAGAAAATTATTCTATTTATGAAAGAAAAAAATAAGGCTAGGCAAGCAAATAATTCTTCTCTTTTTGGGGGGTAGGGAGGTGACTTAAACAACAGAAATTTATTTCTCACGGTGCTGGAGGCTAGAAGTGCAAGATCAAGGAGCCGACAGTTTTATTTTCCTCCGAGGGCTTTGTGCTTGGCTGCCCTCTTGCTGCCTTGTGACCACCCTCTGTGCACACAGGCTCCTGGTGTCTCAATAATTATTTTCCAGAATCTGTGTGATGTAGGGGTCATTTTTTTTCTTTTATTTTTTCTTTTTTGTTGTTGTTGTTGATGTAGGGGTCTTTATGAAGACTCTGATGGAATATTCTCTCCCCTGCAGATACCTGCCCCTTCAGCCGTAAGGCATAAAAGAAAAGTGCTAAAAGTAAAGAAGGGAGAGATTTTCTAGGAACTCGGGGCTCTAGGTTCTTTGCTGAGTGGACACATTTGGCTGTTTGTATTGCCCGTAGGTGGGTGGTCTGTTGGGGCAGGATAGAAGAACCAGTGAGCTGCTGCTGGCTTCTAAATCTGGGGGCTGTACATTTGTGTGTGTTTTAAGTCAGAAAGGGTAGTTATTTTATTAGATCATCAAGCTCCCTCAACTACTTCTTTGCGAATTCATGAGATCTTGCCCTTATCTCAGAATGATGTCTCTATCCCCATTACACACACACACACACACACACACACACACACACACACACACACGCTACAAGGCTCAAAGCCCTTTCTCCTAAATTTCTTTCTCTGCTTATTACTGAGTTGGTGTTAACCAGGTGGTCTTGTTGGTTTTCTTGGATTGGACTGTTTGCCTGGGTTGAGAGGGCTCTTGGAAGGAAGAGCCCAAATCTGGATAACTTTCTTGGGACCATACCCAGCACTGGACCATCCAAAGTCTACGCTGCTCCTTCCGTCGCTCAGTTGTGTGTCAAATACTGACTTTATATCAGGCCCTGAGCATGTAAAGATAAACTAGATAGAGTCTGGGGCAGCGGAGAATTGGGAGGTGGTGGTGGTAGTAGATTTAGAAATAAATAATTACCTTACAGTGTGATGATTTAGAGGTGTATATGGAACAGAGAATGACTAATTCTGTCCAAGAGGAGGAAAGAGAGAAACAGGTTGTAGAAGGAAGATTGGGAGTTCACGGGAGGATTTGCAGGCAGAGGAAACAGCAAGTGCAAAGGCAACAATGTTCAGGGATGAAAGGTGGGGTGGGGTGGAGTGGAGAATTGGGAGGTGGTGGTGGTGGTAGATTTAGAAATAAATAATTACCTTACAGTGTGATGATTTAGAGGTGTATATGGAACAGGGAATGACTAATTCTGTCCAAGAGGAGGAAAGAGAGAAACAGGTTGTAGAAGGAAGATTGGGAGTTCATGGGAGGATTTGCAGGCAGAGGAAACAGCAAGTGCAAAGGCAACAATGTTCAGGGATGAAAGGTGGGGTGGGGTGGCCGGGAAGTAAGGAGAGGAGGAGCAGGAAATGCTGCCGGAAAGGCAGGTTGGGGCCAGATTTGGAAGGTTCTACTTTTCTTTTTTTAATTGATTTTAGAGAGAGAGGAAGGAAGAGACAGACAGAGAGACACAGATTTGTTGTTCCGCTTATTTATGCATTCATTGATTCCTGTGTATGCCCTGACCAGGGATGAAACCCACAACATTGGTGTATAGGGACGATGCTCTAACCATCATTACTACCCAGCCATTGCTGGTTCTACTTTTCTTAGAAGCAACAAGGACTCAAGAGATGTTATAAGGAAGACTGACAACTTAATTTGAGCATGTTTCCAGGTGTTGGAAAGTTGTTCTCTGTTCCATACACACTTCTAAATTATCACACTGCTCCCTGCCTCTATGGGCGGGTCCTGGTGCCCTGATTCACTTCCAATGTAGTTATTGCAATAATAGTAGTAATGATAAAATAATTTGGGCTGGTCACTTCAGGTTTTATACATGCTCTTTAATTTCAACTTTCAATAAAGTATGAATTGCCTTGAACTCAATTATTCAATCTTAGCCCATTTTCTATCAAATAAGATATAACTTCTAAATATGATCTGATTTCATGAATAATGATTTTTTTTGTTGTATAAATTTTCAGTCACAAAAGTAGGAGGGAATAGTGCAATAATCCTCTCTGTATCTATCAAGCAGTTTGACAGCTGTCAATTCACAGCAGTCTTGTTTCGTCTATACAGGCGGTCACCAACCTTTCGGACCTCACTGACCACCAGTGGTCCACGAACCACCGATTGGCAACCGCTGGTCTATACCACACTCGTTCCTCCTTGCCACTGCGCACTGGATTGCTTTGAAGCAAATTCCAAATGTTATATAATTTCATCTGTAAATACTTCAGTATATATCTTTGTAATTATTTTTAAGTTCTTTTTATTGAATCAGGATCTAAAAGAGACCACACTTTGCATTTGGTTGATAGGTTTTAAGTTTCTTTCACTCATAACGGTTCCTCTTGCTACTTACTAATTGAAAAAGCCAGGTTATTTGTTCTGAAGAATTCCCCACTTCCAGAATTTGACAGATTGCACTTTTCCCCTGTAATATGTTCTTCTACCCCATGAATTTCCTATTAACTGTGTGTTACATCTAGGGCCTTGATCAGATTCAGGTTTACTTTTGAAGTGATGCAATGTTTTTGCTATTATAACATATCGAGAGGCACATAATTTTTAGTTGTATCTCTAATTTCCTACATGATTTTTTTAAATTGCAGTATAATTTATATAACATAAAATTCTCCATTTTAAAGTGTATAATTCAATAGTTTTGACTATATGTACAATGTTATACAATTATAGCCACTGATTTCAGAACATTTCCATCATCCCCAAAGGAAACCCCCTCCCTGTTAACAGTCACCCTCCATGCCATCCCTACTCCCAGCACCTGGCAATCAGTAATCTACTGTCTGTCTCTATAGATATGGATTTGCCTATTATGGGCATTTTATATAAGTGGAATAACAGAATATGTAGCTTTTTGTATCTGACTATTCACTTACAGTAAGCATAATGTTTTTAAGGTTCATCTATATTATAGCATGCATCATGTCTTTCTTTTTTTTTTTTTTTGCTGAATAATATTCCACTGTATGGATATACCACATTTTGCTTACCCATTCATCAGTTGATGGACATTTGGATTGTTTTCATTTTTGGTTATTATGAATAATACTGCTGCTATGAACATTACTGACAGGTTTCTATGTGAACATATGTTTTCAATTCTCTTAAGTGGTCTCTCTTTTTATGTTAAAGTTGATTGGTGGGTTCAAGTATTATTGGTATTTTAAAGTTCCCCTCAATCTTTCACCCAGTGGTTTTAGAAATCCCCAATGATTGCTGATCCTTATCTAAATCCATTATCTCATTAGAGGTTACCAAATGGTGATTTTGTAATTCTACCATTCTATTTGCATTTATTAGCCAGAATTTGTCTATAAAGAATAGACACTAAATCATAGTTGTAAAAAAAGAAAGGATAAATACGTGACTGCTTTCTTTTGTTTCTCAAATAATGATATTTTGTACTTTCCTGTATGGAACCCTAATAAGTTCTGGGTCTCTATATGGTTAAAGTGCTACATGAAGTTGCAAATAAAGAATTATGATCCTGGAATCCAAAAATAAAAAAGTTATTTCAACCTCTACTTGGGGAATCCATTTAATGCCCCACAGCAATGCTAGTACTTCATAAAATTCTCCTACCTTTCCTTTCTAATGGGTCTCTTTCCCTTCTCCCTTCCCCTTCCTAGCTCTTTATTATATAGATCAATTTACCCTCTCAGCCCAAGTCCTTCCTTTCCCAGCCCCTTAGGCTCTCTCTCTCTCTCTCTCTCTCTCTCTCTCTCCAGTACCCCCTCACCCCCATTCTGATTCTACATTACAAAAGATCCAGAAACTAGGCTGGCAAAGACCAAACTCTAAACTGGAAAGTAGGATTGTATTCTGAGCTGGAAACCTTTAGGGGGAGGGTAAGAGGAGAGAGAAGAGGGAGGAGCACTCACACTAACAAATCTTCCTGTAATGAACATGCGCCACATATGGTGGAATACAAAATCTACACTAATAAAAGAGAAAAATGGTAATTGGCGTACGACCGCTACCCTTCCGATTGGCTAATCAGCGTATCCTTATGCAAATTAACTGTCAGCCAAGATGGCGGCCGGCAGCCAGGCAGTTGGAAGCGAACATGAGGCTTCCTTGCTCCAGTGACTGCTGACTCCAACGTTCCCCGCCTGACTTGCCGGCCTCTGAGCTGGCAGTTTGAAACATTCTAACAAATATAGCCGGCTGGGATCTCAGAGCTGAAGTTATACATTGTTTCGATTATAGAACGGCAAACAAACCAGCAGCGGAAGCCTCAGAGCTAGAGCCAGAGCTAAAGCTGGCCCAGAAGAAAAAAAAAAGAAAAAAAGGAGCGGTTGGGAGCTTCCTGCCAGCCTGAAAGCAGTCAAAACCGCCAGCCTGAAAGCAGCTCTCAGCCTCTCACTCAGACTGGCCAGGCACTCCAGTGGGGACCCCCACCCTGAAGGGTGTGTGACCAGCTGCAAACAGCCATCATCCCCTCATCCAGGCTGGCCAGGCACTCCAGTGGGGACTCCCACTCTGATCCAGGACACTCTTCAGGGCAAACCAGCTGCTCCTCAGGCCTCTATTCTATATAGTAAAAGGGTAATATGCTCTCCCAGCATCGGGATCAGCGGAGCTGCGAGGTCTCTCTGGCACCAGATCAGCATGACAGGGTGCAGCGTCCAAATCCCCTGATCGCTCTGCGGCTCTGTGTGTGACAGGGTGTGGCGTCCCAATCTCTCTGATCAGCCCTGCTTCTGTGCGTGACGGGGGGGGGGGGGCAGTGCCTCAATCTCTCTGATTGGCCCTGGCTTCTGTGCATCACAGGGGGTGGCGTCGCCAATCTCTCTCATTGACTCTGCCTTGAGTGTGAACAGGGGGCGGTG